GCTTGACGGGCCGCGCATGAGGACAAACGGCAAGATGGTGCTCAATTACTTTCCTGGGTACACCGGGAATGTCAGACGGTTGCCACGCAAACACGTCGACGTTCGCCCACAGGAAAGCAATGAGCGCGCTTTCCTATTTAGGGTCGAGAGTGGCACTGATGGTGAAGGTACCACCAGTGCCGTCCTCCTTGGCGAACACCTTCTTGGTCTCTGGCGGAGCTGCCATTGTCTTCTTACACTTGCCGATGGAGCTCGATGGTGCGTCCTCGACGGCAGCGCAGCACTCCGAAGAGGTGCGCTTGCCGGAGTGGGCATCAGAACTCTTGCCGAACTTGGTCTTCTTCTTCCACCCGGGAGCTTCAACGGCAGGTGACTTGCGATCTGTTGCGGCTGCCGCTTCCCGGTAGATCTTGTCGGCGCAGATAAGAGCATCCTTCTTGTCGCCAGGGACAGAGATGACGCTTATCGGGCCTGGCATCTTCAGCATGTTGTATGCGTAGTGAGAGGCTGCCATGAACTTGGCGAGTGCTGGACGGCCGAGTATCCCATTGTAAGGAAATGGAAAATCGGCAACGTCAAAAGTGACCCTCTCAGTCCTGAAGTTCACCTCGCTGCCAAATGTTACTGGCAACGTGACCTTCCCTTTCGGCTTGCTCCTTCCCGGGTTGATTCCTTGGAATGTGCCGGTCTCTTCAAGCTCGCTGTCAGGGATCTGGAGTTTCTGGAGTACAGCGGAGGAGATCAGGTTCAAGCCGGCCCCACCGTCAACTAGCATCTTAGTGACCTTGAGGTTGCGGATAGTTGGTGAAACCAACATCGGCAAGCACCCGACCGCAGTTGTGCGATCAGGGTGGTCCTCAATATCAAAGATGATAGGCGTGCTGGACCATTTCAGAAGCTTGCGTGACTCGACAGGTGGTTCCACCGCATTGACTTCCCACACCCACTGCTTGAGTTGGCGGTGTGAAGTATGCAGAGAAGCACCGCCGTCAACGCACAAGACCTCTGTGGCTTTCTGGAACTCCTGCTCACTGGTCTCGACACCATCCATGTCTTCGTCGTCGTCGTCATCTTCATCCTTGTCGCGGCCGCGGGGAGGTCTATCTCCTTGCCGCTGCTTGGCCTTGCCGCGGCGTCCTCCCTGGCCGGCGCGCTTCTTGTCGGATTCTCCAGCGCCTTCTTGGGCCCTCTCCTTGTCGCGTCGCTCGTATTCAGCCTTTTGCTGCTGGACAAGCTGCTCAACCTTCTTGCAGCTCTGGAGGTCATGGCCCTTGGTGCGGTGGATCTTGCAGTACTGCTTGTCGGTGTCGTCCTGCTTGTCGGCGACCGCCACAGTCTGGCAGTTGGTGCATGCGGCAATCTCCTTGCCGGAGCTACCAACTTTGGCTTTCTTGGCGCCACCTTCGTTGCCGGACTGCTCAATGACTAGCACATCTTTGCCTTTCTTCTTCCTGTTGTTCCGCCGCCGGTTTTTCTTTGCCGGGGCAGCATCCTCACTGTCAGATCCTCCTGCTCATATATTCTCTCCGGGGAGTTTCCTCCCTTCCTCAGCACGTGCACACTTGTCGGCCAGGGCATACAGCTCACTGACGTCTCTGATCTTGCACATCGCCATCTCCTCCCGCATCCTGCGGTTACGCACGTTCTGATGGAATGCGCTGATGACCGCGGCAGGGTGGACATTTGGGATGTTGTGCTGTACACGGCTGAATCTTTGAATGTACTTGCGCAGGGGCTCTCCTTCCTTCTGGGCAAGCAGATGAAGGTCACTCTCTTGGCCATGAGGTTTGTGGCCGCCTGTAAAGGCGCCGACAAACTGATGGCATAGGTCTGCCCATGAGGATATGGAGTTGTCCGGCAAGTGCATGAGCCAGGACCTGACGTTGGGCTTGAGCACCAGCGGGAAGTAGTTGGCAAGGATCTTGTCGTCCCGCCCCCCGGCAGCCTGCACCGCAATGGTGTAGATGCTGAGGAACTCCGATGGATGCGACTTGCCGTTGTACTTCTCTGGTACGTCTGGCTTGAAATTCTTCGTGCTGGGCCACTGGACTTGCCGCAGCTCACGAGTAAACGCAGGACAACCTACCGCGTACGGCAAGTCGCCTGGTTCCCCTAGTGCATGCATGTCGACAGAGGGCCCAACGCGCTGGTCCAATTGACGTCGCGCTTCTCTTCAGCGCTCGATGCGAGTACGAGCGTCTTCCTGCTGTCGTTCGTGAAGAACTTGGCGCTGATCGCGACGAGCTCGTGGATCTGATGACGCGGTGGAGTCGCTGTCGAGGTGGATCCGGCGAGTCGGCGATCTTGGCCTTCGGGGCGGAGAGTGCACGGTGGTTGCACCCCCACCGGTCTTGTCGCCACCGGCTCGTGCCTGGCTGACTTGCCGCGGCTGCGACGTGCTCGGCTGCCGTTGAGTGTCGCCGTTGGCGAAGCCGATGAGACTCTGAATGGTGGCCCTCCAGTCGTCGATCTTGTCTGCCGTTGGAGGGTAGTCCAGGAGCAGTTGAGCTCGCGCCAAAGCTTCTCCTGTAGTGGCGGGTGGCGATGGCGAACGGTGGGAAGAGCGAGATATGCTCGGACTTCTAACTATGTTAGAAGGAGCAGTATCCCGCCCAGGCGACCGTGCCTTGCTCGTGCCAGCATGTTGGCGTGCATGCTGGTCTTGAGCACTCCGAGATCCACCAGCTCGATCTTGGTTCAGCAAACGCATGGTACCGTGAGTACCATGACGCTGCCGGTCCCGCGCCTCCTGAGATGGGCGCGGTGCATGTACGGACGCCGAGGTCTTGGAGTGCGCCCGGTCGTTGTGGGAGCCGGCTACGCCGCCGATGGGTAGCGCAGCCTTGTCCTTGGACCTGGCAGCACCGTGAGCTCCCTCGTCGAAGCCCGTTCTTCCGCCGGCGTCTGCCCCATCAGCCGTTTGCTCCGGCGGTGGTGGGTTCAGCGCGGACGGAGCAGCCGCCTCCGAAGCCTTCTTCTTCGGCGGGATGTCGATGAAGATGATGAAGATCTAGCTCGTGTGAACGCTGGATCTGGTTCACACAACCTCGACGCCCCCTACCTGGCGCGCCAAAGATGTCGGGGGACTAATCCACGAGCACCTATGGGACCGGCGGACCGAGTCCCTTTCGGTTCGGCGGGGGCGAGGGTCGCACGAAGAGCGGATCGAGGCGAAGCACACGAGCAATTTACCCAGGTTCGGGCCGCACGGATGCGTAAAACCCTACTCCTGCTTTGTGGTTTGTATTGAGTTCTTGCTCGGGAGCGCGGAGTGCTACAGTACACCCCAGCAGCCAACGAGACCGAGCGTGAGTGTTCTCTTTTTCTTCCCTTCCCCTTCTACGTTGCGCATGGGCCTCCTTTTATATGCTCAAGGGGTCACCGACAGGTGGCAACGCAGACAAGGGTAAAAATGGAAAGGTGCTGTGGTTGGTACAGCTACCTGCTACAGTGTATCATACCTAACCCTGACGGCAGGGGACAAAGGGCATTAAATGCCCGTCTGCGTCGCCTAAATAGTGCAAAAGGGACCGTCAGGGACGCCACCGCTCGCCACGATGGCAATCTTGTCAGTGCCGCTTGCCACCGCGCACCGCTGGCTGCACAGCCTCCCGCCACGTACGCCTGGAAGGGTCCCAGAGCGACACGTTGGTGGATGTGCTGGAGCGCGGGCACAGAGTGGTGGCTTGCCGCGGCAAGCGCCTTGCCGCGGTCGTTGTCTTGTCGCGTCCGGGAGCTTGTCGCTCACCGGGCCTTGCCAGGACGCGTGGCGCGTCGCGGCAAGTTCCTTGAGATGCCTTGGTTGGCCTTCCCGGCAAGCTCCTCTTGCCGGTGTCTTGTCTCCTTGGCTTGGATACTTTGTCCTTGAATGGCTCCAAAGGAACCACGGAGGACCTTGGCGGTCATCCGGCAAGCCTTGCCGTGGGATGCTGCGACTGCCCGTGCACAAGTTCGGGATACTAGGGTACCCCTACTCTAGTACACCGACAACTCTAGTCTAATAACTAATATGATGATGCAATACATACTCAAGGCCATATCAGGGAGACGTGCATAGAAATCATGAAAAATTGAACATATAACTGGAACATGCCAAAAACGAAACACTAAAACCTGGGAGTTAAAACAATAAGCCAAAGCAAACTTTATTTTCACACCTAGAAATATCACTGTATAACCATATCTTTGAATCCGTACAGATATGTTTGTTAACAGAGAAGGACAGTAGATCTTACTCTTCATTAGTGCAGCTTCAAATAGCGGATCTTGTAGCAAAAACCTACAAATCAAATAAAATTTGACATTTGTAACCTCACTTCTGCAATACCTAAATACTGAAATTTTACCTAACAAAAACAAAACATGCTGGAAGGAACGTTTTGTGCGAAATGCAATACTGAACATTTATATCAAAAAGGCAGGGAACATAATCTAATATTAGGAAGGAGAGTACCTCGACAAACATCTGTAGGCCTTTGATCTTCCATCTCCAAAGAATAACAATAATTCAACTGATATGGAAACCAAATAAAATCCTAAAAGCTAGACGAGCTTTTTTTTAGAGAGCACTCAAAGATAAGGATGTCCTTATTGGCTGATCACCAGTAGAAAACTTATGTGTCTAATGCTCATAATGACAAGGTATTACTTTTCCAATAGTATCTAATGGTATCTTATTGGCTTCAACAGTTTTTTTGAAAGAATTGAGTGAAAGAATAAATCAGATCTACCAAATTAAGCGTCTCAAAGTACCTGAATATCCTAAACTTCTCTGTTCAGTAACTATCTTCCTTGTACAACATAGTTGCTTTAACATTTCCACAAGGACCTTGGGCCAGGCCATCTAAGCTCCAACTTTGCATATGACAGCGGCAGTAATTTAACACATGATAAAAGTTCTCCATAAAGAAAAGAAAATATGGCAAAAAATATTTATATTATTGATTTGATAAATAAAATATAAATGGAGCATGTCTCCATTGTCATAGCATTGAACACAGTTACATCAATCCCGAGTGCATCATTCTAAGACTGGGTGCAATCCATATGGGATTTGGCCAGGTGCAATAAATCCGAGGCACAATTTCTTCCCTGCTGCTGTTTTCCAAATTTAGAACGCCTATATCACGATGAAGATTCTTATACATCGAAATATATTCTTCATCGTCAGTGAAGTAGACACAGTTTGCTTTCAATTGTGGATATTCTTCCACACTGAGACACAGTGTCTGGCTATGCCCAAGAAACAACACATGGCCATGCAAGCCATTTATTTCCACAAGCTTTTTTGCTGCCATGTCAATCTTATATACAAATATTTTGCTGGTTTCCTCTATGTTCTCTGAACCAGCATCACCATCTACAGTGGGCTGTTCCCTCCAAACTTGCAGCATATCGCCCCACGGTGCCTGAACAATGTATATGTGCTCACAAATATAATGCTTCATGTCACCCAGAACCGTCGTCCTTGTGACAGTAGAACCAGAGAGATCAAAAGCATCAACTGCTCCAGTTCCTGTCACTGCATACAGTAGACCATCCTTGTAGATGCATTCCTGATAGTTCCAACCCGGTGGTAGAAATGTCCACCCACAGTCCCCTGCCCTTGCAAATGAAATCTGATATTCTGGATTATGAATGAGGACCACAATGTAGCTTCCTGTTTGCGAATCAGGAAACAAATATGCCTTGAAGTAGAGGTGGTCACGGAGCTCATCGCGAGCATAAATTGAGGGCTCGTGACCAAGGAATTCTGCAAGTGCAGTGTACCGTGGCTTCCATAACTCATACTTATGAATAGCACCTTCATCGTCAAAGACCGGCTTGACTTGCTCAAGAGTAATCACTGACGGGAGACCAATCTGTTCACCAGTGATTGGATTTACAAGGTGCAGCTCGGACCTCTCATCGGAAGTGATCAGCCAACCATGCGAAGAGCCAATCAGATACCTACTGCGGATGGGTGGATCAGGGAGGGTTAATTTGTAGGCCCTCTTTTCCACAAGGCTGTAGAGGCAAGCTGCATTCTCTCCAGTAGATTCAGAGGTGTGGTAGAGGAGGCAAGGCGTCTGGCGCTGTTTGTGCTTCAGAAGCTGACGGCGTAGTCCGGTGTACACCGACCGCCAAGAGGAGCAGACAGAGCCTGCGCGCACGAGGTCAGGGACCTCGAGGAGGGCAAAGATGCTCGACAGCATATCCGGTGGCAGCTCCGGCTCCGGCGATTTGCCCACCATATTCTCCATGGGCGGTGCGTCTCCTCTGAATTTGCTGAGTACACTGGGGGAAAGTCCCATCAGATCAGCCAAAGCTCTGAAGATGAGAGAGCACAAACTCGTCGGGTGCCTAGCTAGATGCCGTAAGCTCCGTAAGCTCCTTATTAAGATACAGGCCTCCATCGGGGCTCCGGCGATACTTATAGGCAAGAAAGACAAACCAACAGAGGGCCTGCTCAAGTCGGTGACGGAGATCCAAATCCGAATCCAGAAAACTGGAATCTTGCGGTGTGCTGGGACTCGGGGCAGTTCAAATCCGGAAATGAATCGAGCTTTGGATCCGACTCGCCGCCGAAACAAAATTCCGAGTGCGGCCTCCTCCGCGCTACAAGAATCTGATTCCAGTAGCGCCTCTCCAAGGCCCAAGATGTGTAAGTAACCGGCGAGAAGACGAACGGACCGGCGAACGAGCTGGGGGCTCCGTCGGCCGCGGCGGCGAAAAGGCGCTAGTGGGATTCAGAGGGTGGTTCCCGGACTGGGGGATAAGGTTAGTGGAAGTGGGGAAAGTATCTAGTACTCCCAGGCTTGGGGAACTCCCGATGCTTCAAATGTACGAAAAACATTTTTAAATTGTTCAAAATTTTTTGAAAAAAATACAGCACATTAACGGAACATCGATGTCTCTTGTCACAAAATTTCATATCAAAATTCGAAACATTGCTCGAGATACAAAAATGACAAGTTTTTGTACATAACATAAGTTGAGCTTTAGATTTGGCCCATTATCACATTGATGTTAAATTTGTCATTTTTATATCTCGAGCAATGTTTCGAATTATTTAAAATTTTGTGACAAGAGACATCGATGTTCCATCGATGTGCTGCATTTTTTTCAGAATTTTTTGAATATTTTAAAAATATTTTTCAGCATGGGTGCACCGGGAGCACCCTAGGGGTGGGAGGACTTGATACTTTCCCGAACTGGCGGCATCCGAGAGGGCAACAAGCGCGGCGGTGCTCCAGGTCAAATGGTGCTAAATTATGGCAAAGGGGGTAAAAGCAGTGAATTCAGCCGTCAGTGGAACGACAGATTTCTTGAGAAAGGGCAAAATGAACGGTTTTCATGTGTCAATCTTTTGTCAGGATTTGTTGTGTTCGTGAAAAAAAAGGAAGTGTTTGTGGCCGGGGCGCCGGCCCAAGGGTTGGGCCGGTCGCATGCGCGTCGTCTGATGCGCCAGATCCGACGCTCGCATTCCCTCCGCAGCCGCACTCGCGTCCACGTGCTGGCCGGGTCCACACACTGCTTTGGCCGCAGCGTTATCCCTTTGCTTATGTCGCCTCCTCCATTTTCAACCATTCATTCTGCTTTTTCCCATCCACTTCCACTTCTTGCTGCTGCACGGCGGCGACCCAACACGGAGATGCGAGATTTTGGTGGTGAAGTACCGGCGAGCGGCGCGGTGTAGATGTCATGGCGTGCGTCTTTTTGGTGGTCGGAGCTGAGCGGGGCTGCAAACACGACGGTCCTGCAACCAGCCCTCTTTGCCATGGCCGCCCGCGGCTGATTTGCGCTCCTCTCCATGGCCGTCGCAACAAGATTTTTGCTACAACCATGTTTTCTTTTGCTGGAACCAACCCATCTTTTTGCTACCACCCACTCACCCTAAAATCTGCTCCCGTGGTGATTTTTGCTGGAACCGACGAACCATTTTGCTACAATTGTTTTGAGTTTTTGTTACTACCGTTGTTTTATGGATTTTTTGCTACATCCATCTCCATGACATCGCATGTTTTCTTTCAGATGATTTTTGCTACAACCATACTTTGTTTTGCTGGAACCGAAAATAATTTTTGTTACAACTGTATTTTCATTTTGCTCGAACCGAAGACAATTTTTGCTACATCCACCCACGGCGGGGTTGGTCGACGGCGGCGACGGCTTTTCTTTGCTGCAACCATCTTGGATTTTTGCTACTAACGGAGACTGCGGTTTGGCAGACTTGGGAGCTTCGGGCTACCAGTATACATGGGATAACAAACAAAATAACAATGACAACATCCAGGTGAGGCTCAACAGGGTGACCTGCACCGCTAACTTTATGGGGAGTGTGGAGAATATCGTTACGGAAGAATCAGACCATATGGCAGTGCTGGTGCGTGTGCGCGACATGGGAGCAGATCGGCCGAGAGGGGACCGCCCCTTTCGGTTCAAAGAGATGTGGCTGTGGCACGAGGACTATGGGGCGATGTTTGTACGGACTTGGGGACAAGTACAGGGGGTAAACATGACACCGGGGGCGGTGTGCGACAGGTTAGAAGGTATAACAAAAGCCCTACAAGGATGGGGCCTGACTGTCTTTAGTAATTCGGAGGCAGATTAAACGGCTAAAGGAGCAACTTTTGGATGCTAAAGAGAGGGCGTTGGTCACTGGACTAACGACCGAGGTTCGAGATATTGAGAGTCAACTCAATGAAGTCTTTGAAAGAGAAGAAATTATGCAAAAACAGCGATCTCAAGTGGATTGGCTTAAAGCGGGGGACCGGAATACTCAATATTTTCAGAACCGGGCCTCCCATCATCAGCGGAAGAACACGGTTAAGGCACTGCTAAGGAAGAATGGTACAAGATCCACGGACGACGACAGCATGAGGGAGTTAGCGGCCTCCTTCTACGAGAGGTTGTTCAGGCCAGAAGGGTCAGCTCATGCAGAGAGACTTCTCACTCATTTTGTCCCGGTTATTTCTGAGGAAATGAATAACAGGCTAAGGGTGTTGGAAATATGCCCTAGAGGCAATAATAAATTGGTATTATTATATTTCCTTGTTCATGATAATCGTTTATTATCCATGCTATAATTGTATTGATAGGAAACTCAGATACATGTGTGGATACATAGACAACACCATGTCCCTAGTAAGCCTCTAGTTGACTAGCTCGTTGATCAATAGATGGTTACTGTTTCCTAACCATGGACATTGGATGTCGTTGATAACGGGATCACATCATTAGGAGAATGATGTGATGGACAAGACCCAATCCTAAGCCTAGCACAAAGATCGTGTAGTTCGTATGCTAAAGCTTTTCTAATGTCAAGTATCTTTTCCTTAGACCATGAGATTGTGCAACTCCCGGATACCGTAGGAATGCTTTGGGTGTACCAAACGTCACAACGTAACTGGGTGGCTATAAAGGTGCACTACAGGTATCTCCGAAAGTGTCTGTTGGGTTGGCACGAATCGAGACTGGGATTTGTCACTCCGTGTAAACAGAGAGGTATCTCTGGGCCCACTCGGTAGGACATCATCATAATGTGCACAATGTGACCAAGGGGTTGATCACGGGATGATGTGTTGCGTAACGAGTAAAGAGACTTGCCAGTAATGAGATTGAACAAGGTATCGGTATACCGACGATCGAATCTCGGGCAAGTACAATACCGCTAGACAAAGGGAATTGTAAACGGGATCGATTGAGTCCTTGACATCGTGGTTCATCCGATGAGATCATCATGGAACATGTGGGAGCCAACATGGGTATCCAGATCCCGCTATTGGTTATTGACCGGAGAACATCTCGGTCATGTCTGCATGTCTCCCGAACCCGTAGGGTCTACACACTTAAGGTTCGATGACGCTAGGGTTATAAAGGAAGCTTGTATGTGGTTACCGAATGTTGTTCGGAGTCCCGGATGAGATCCCGAACGTCACGAGGAGTTCCGGAATGTTCCGGAGGTAAAGATTTATATATAGGAAGTCCTGTTTCGGCCATCGGGACAAGTTTCGGGGTCATCGGTATTGTACCGGGACCACCGGAAGGGTCCCGGGGGCCCACCGGGTGGGGCCACCTGCCCCGGGGGCCACATGGGCTGTAGGGGATGCGCCTTGGCCTACATGGGCCAAGGGCACCAGCCCCAAGAGGCCCATGCGCCTAGGGAACCCTAGAGGGAAGAGTCCTCAAAGGGGAAGGCACCTCCGAGGTGCCTTGGGGAGGATGGACTCCTCCCCCCCTCTTGGCCGCACCCCTTTCTTGGAGGAAGGGGCAAGGCAGCGCCTCCCCCCTCTCCCTTGCCCCTATATATAGTGGAGGGGAGGGAGGACATCCATACCTGAGTCCCTGGCGCCTCCCTCCCTCCCGTGACACCTCCTCCTCTCCCGTAGGTGCTTGGCGAAGCTCTGCAGGATTGCCACGCTCCTCCATCACCACCACGCCGTTGTGCTGCTGCTGGATGGAGTCTTCCTCAACCTCTCCCTCTCTCCTTGCTGGATCAAGGCGTGGGAGACGTCACCGGGCTGTACGTGTGTTGAACGCGGAGGTGCCGTCCGTTCGGCACTAGGATCATCGGTGATCTGAATCACGACGAGTACGACTCCATCAACCCCGTTCACTTGAACGCTTCCGCTTAGCGATCTACAAGGGTATGTAGATGCACTCTCCTTCCCCTCGTTGCTGGTTTCTCCATAGATAGATCTTGGTGACACGTAAGAAAATTTTGAATTTCTGCTACGTTACCCAACAGTGGCATCATGAGCTAGGTCTATTGCGTAGATTCTTTGCACGAGTAGAACACAAAGTAGTTGTGGGCGTTGATTTTGTTCAATATGCTTGCCGTTACTAGTCTTATCTTGATTCGGCGGCATCGTGGGATGAAGCGGCCCGGACCAACCTTACACGTACTCTTACGTGAGACCGGTTCCACCGACAAACATGCACTAGTTGCATAAGGTGGCTGGCGGGTGTCTGTCTCTCCCACTTTAGTCGGAACGGATTCGATGAAAAGGGTCCTTATGAAGGGTAAATAGCAATTGGCATATCACGTTGTGGTTTTGCGTAGGTAAGAAACGTTCTTGCTAGAAACCCATAGCAGCCACGTAAAACATGCAAACAACAATTAGAGGACGTCTAACTTGTTTTTGCAGGGTATGCTATGTGATGTGATATGGCCAAGAAGAATGTGATGAATGATATGTGATGTATGAGATTGATCATGTTCTTGTAATAGGATTCACGACTTGCATGTCGATGAGAATGACAACCGGCAGGAGCCATAGGAGTTGTCTTTATTTATTGTATGACCTGCGTGTCATTGAACAACGCCATGTAATTACTTTACTTTATTGCTAACCGGTAGCCATAGTAGTAGAAGTAATAGTTGGCGAGACAACTTCATGAAGACACGATGATG